GTCGGCAGCCATAGGGGAAAAGGCGGCAAGAAAATAGAAATCGAATGCACGCTGGGATTTTTTTTATAAACACGTTGTTATTAAAACAATTAAATAAATTATTATAGAAAAACAAACAAACGATACAAACCGAACTAATTAAAACCAACGTTAAAAAGGCAAATTCATCTACCACTTTCTTAGTGAAATACTACAAATTCTGAGAAACGCACGTTTGTGTTCTGTCCACACTGATCATTAGATACCCTTTATTTAAACCCCGGCTGTTCTGGGCAACCTATTTTGTTCGCTCATACAGTTGTTCGTAAAACCTATATGTTTAAATTTGAGCTTATATTATTAATGACTGCATCTGATTTACTTTTGTAATTTCATATCTGAAATATATCGTATTTAGCATCGCCTTTAACAAAGAACAAACTATTTTTACCACAATTTTTGCAGTTAACAATTGAAAATGTAAACATAACAAAACATCATTGCGCTTGAACAAACGGCCTGGATAGCAATCGTCCGTATATAAACAGTCTAGTCTGACTATTAAATGACATGTCTTTTTGCATACGATCTGCTGTATTACGCCGTATATATATGGCCTAGTCTGTATATATACGGTCTGATTCTATATATCGTCTGTAACAGTAACAAGTAGAACATACACCCTGTAGATTCTTCGATTTTACGTTTTTTGTTTAATGGATCAATAGCCTTCACTTGAGCCTCTTTCAAGCGCCCCATAACCAAAACATTGCTATCAACATCCGATCGCTCAAACAAGCAAAAAGCAATGCAGAAGGTTTTTCAAATTAATATTGTTTTTTCTTTGTGCTCAATGAACCCTTGATAAGAACCAGCGCTCGCCCGGAAAAACGAATTGCCCCGTAGCATTTTCAGAAGACTTGCAACTTTTTCTTTTTTGGAATTGGAAATGAGAAAAGTTCCCTTATTAAACTGGATAAAAGTAAAATAGATGTTGCGAAAGGTTGTGAGTCGTTTATGAACAAATCGCCCAATCTAAACTTATATACGTAATCGATGGATTTAATCAAATATTAAATATATAGGCGATGTTTTTCTTTTGCAGGAATTGGACCTGATGGCCACATTGCTTTTAACGAACCCGGCTCCTCTTTGGTGTCTCGAACCAGAGTGAAAACCCTCGCCCAAGACACTTTGGAAGCGAACGCGCGATTCTTCGGAAACGACATTAACAAAGTGCCTAAGCAAGCCCTCACAGTCGGAGTGGCCACTGTAATGGATGCGAAAGAGGTAAATTCCGAATAGACACACTTAGTTAGAGGTTGGGCATTGTGGCCACTTGCAGGTGATGATTCTGATCACCGGATCACACAAGGCTTTCGCCCTTTACAAAGCGATTGAAGAGGGAGTGAATCATATGTGGACCGTGTCCGCCTTCCAGCAGCATCAGCACACTTTAATAATATGCGACGAGGATGCCACTTTGGAATTGAGAGTTAAGACTGTCAAGTATTTTAAGGTAGGCCTTTATTTCCGAGATTGGGGTTTGGTAAAGGACTGTTTTGCTTGTGCATGCATTGCTATGGATTTTCCTATTTACAAAACGACTTCAGATAATTTTAATTGTTTGGGGCATTGGCTAGCTATTAGTGTAGAATTGCTGGATAATTCACTTGCTTTGCTAATATTTTCAATGCTTTTGTGTCTCACAATTCACAATACATGGCGATTTTCCTATAGGGGATTCACGCTGTTAAGCTCTGCTACGTTTTTTGTTTTATTTAAAGGCACTAAGCGGCGTCCACCAAAAACTAATCGAAGAATCCGAACCATTGGACAGATACAGGACTATCCATTAACGATTAAATGGTAGTTATATTTTCCAGCACTATTTATGTGGATACCAATTAAACATTTACTCCCATATGGTACATGATGGTTCAGTTTTCACAAGAAAAATATCAAATTTGATAAAAAAAACATTAAACTTTTGGCAGATAAAGATCTTCTGAAAATAGCTTCGGGCAATTCGTTTTCAATACTTCACGTATTGTTTAAGTTAATTGCCAGCACAACTTGCAAACTACATAGTTTGATTCAAACTGAACTTTCCCAATTAAATGACCGTTTCTATCCATTTCAGAGCTTGTCTGCAGAGCACGAAGCCTTGATATCAGAGCAATGATTTTATATGCATGTAGGTATTGGTTTTGTTTCACAAATTAAATTGAATTTTTCATCATAGAGTAGTTTTACTTATCAAAAACAATCCTTTCCATCGACTAAATTTGGCGATTTAGACCCTGAATTGCCGGGAAAATGAAAACCAATCGGTTAATAAATTTTCGCTTTTAATCACAAACAAAAAGTACTGAAAATGGAGTTACAAGTGCAATTTTGTCGTTGAGTTTATTTGAAGATTTTGCCTTGGTTGAATTTTCGACCATCTTTGTCGGTGCCTGCCCACGAAAAGTATTGCTGGACCAGCGCCTTAGTCTCTTCGGATTTGGGATCCAGTTTCTTCCAGTCATATACTTCGTAGTCGATTTGCCAATCGGGGCTTAGCTATAAAAATACGCCACATTGAAATAACCCGACAATTGTTGATGTCAAATCAAAAAACTTACAGTAAAGGCGAGGTCCTGACCTCTCCATACCCAAACCCCTGAAATGGTGCTGTTATTGTCTTCTCCAAACAAGCAAACTGAACCAAATGCCTGTTTGCGCATTTTGTCCAAACGCTGGAACATTCCTGAAAATTACGAATTATTTACCCTGCATTAATTTTTGGATTTACTTCAGCTACCTGTAATGAGGTTGCAGCTCATGAACACTTTACTGAGTTCATCTGCGTACTTGTACTCCCCAAACCAGATAGAGTAGTTTTCTGGGTCAAACTTGCTCCAGAAGAAAGGAATGGATTTGCTTTCATCTTCATTTGAGTATACACGCTTGAACTCATCCATGTTAAAGGTGCTAAAAAATCAGCCATGTTCACAAAACATTTATGTTCGGTGTAGCTGGTTAGTTACCCTTTAGGCATTGAATCGAAGGGGTCCTTGCTCTTCGGTTCAGCGGCAAGAAGAGCTTCAGCAGCATCCAATTCCTCTTCAGGTTCCTTTTCTTTTGCAGCTGGGGCAGACTTTTGCTTCTCTTTTTTCTCCTGCTTTTTCTCGTCCTTCTTCTTCTTGCCTAAAGGTCAAATAAAAGACCGATAACTCCAATTGCAAAACGAATTTGCCGATATGAAAAGCACTAAGCCAAGCACCTCACCTTTCTTTTTACCAGATTTCTCAGAAGCAGGTTCAGGCTTTTCTTTCTCTGAACTCTCATTGCTTTTGTCTCTTTGTTTTTCTTTATTTTCTTTGTGCTTATTTTCCTTATTCACGGTTTTATTTTTATTTTGAGCAGCTTGTAAGCAAAACACCACATTTGATCAAAATTGAAAGAATCAAGCAATTAATACAGGAAGGCCATCGGCTTTTAAAGTTAATCAAACAATTGCAGGGTAAAAAATACCTGCGTCTCCTGAAGATTGGGCTACTGCGCTGGCATTGGCCGGCTTTTCACAAAGAACTATGTCTCCGAGAACAGCCTTGACTTGAGGCTGATTGATTACAGTGGAAAACCATCTGGAATATAACAAGTCAATTTTGAAGAAAATTGCATATTCACTGGTAAGTAACTACGGACTGAGCTTTTGACAGCAAATTTTACGCAAAAAGTATGTGAAGAGCTATTACCTGTTAACATTAGCAAATGGTCGTCTGTAATCGGGATCCATAACGTATCGATATGGATTCAGCAAGTTGCAGGCTACGACAATATCAGCCAATGTTACGCGTTCTCCAACTAAAAAGGTCCTTGTTTGGAGATGACTGTTGAGGATGGTAAGGGTTACCTTCATGTCGTTTTTCGCCCGTTGAAAAGCCTGCAAATACAGTTTATTTGTTCAACTTTCGTGCTTGTTAAGGTACATCTTAAACTCAGTTTGTAGTTTTCCAGCTCATATCAATGACATTCATTAGTTGATATGGGTTGGAAGAAATAGCAGCTAACAGCCGATACACGATCCTCATTTCCTGTTACTTGAGTGCATTTTCTATCGGCCTTAAACATGGACTGTATGACAAGCTTTCGCGAGTTTTTTGGGCAAAAGAGTCCCGAAATCCAACTGGAAGTTTGTCATTTCGCTGTGCCTCTGGTTGTTACAAAGGCGACAAAGATTAATGCCGCCATTGCCTTTGCAAGAGGGTGTTTTTGAGTGGGCACTTGCTCACAATTGCATTCACGAAAATCTTTCTACTAGTCTTACTTCTTGGGTGCTGGGGTTGTTCTTGATGATCCCCAAAATGGGGAAAACCCAGGCACATCCAGCTGGCAGTACTTCAGACTCGGCAAAGCCGATCCATTGCAAAACTTGCGCCTTCTCAATGTCAGTCTTTCCCTTTAGCTGTTCGTTGGACACATAGAAGGCAATGGCATTGCCGTCTTGCAAAAGCTGACCATCTTTACCCTCGAAAGCTGGAACCTGATGGAAAAATAACCTCCAAGTGCTCTATTATGAACAAAATGTTTGTTTTTCTACCTTTCCGCCTGGGAACTTCTGTTGAAATTCTTTGGTTTTATTGGTCTCACCAAAGACGAAATTCTTTTCGACTTTGAGTTCGACGCCGGAATATTGAGCTGCAATCAAGGCTTTTGAGGCCCGAAAGTTATCTGTGTAGGTGTATAAAGTCTAAAAAAATACAAACAAAAATACATTGCAGAAACAATAAGGTATCGGATAGAAATTAATTCGGTACTCGATCAACTAATAAACGCAAGATGATTATAAATTTTAATAAAAAAACTTACACCGGCAGCCATTCTTGAGCGATTCAAGAAGCAGAAGGAAGATGGACCCGTTTGAATAGGCAACCAATAATTGTTCACGGAATCGATGTATTTGACATTTGGCTACATTATGCTAAATTTTACTGGTATGCAGTGGAGTATTGTGGGTGGCAGATATTTGCATTTTTGTACATAGTTTATTTAACCAATTTTATTATACAGAGCCGAAGATGCATTATTTGATTCTTTTAAATAGGATGTACAGATTTGCTTACGAAAAACTGCATTGATCATCAAAACCTTTTCATTTGGGAGTTGCTACATTCAAATTCGAATTAACGGAACGCTAACGCTAAAAAGTCCCCTGCTCTTGATATTTGCTAGCTACCGCCTTAAAGACTCTACTGCCTTGATACAAACGAAAATCCGCAGTTGCCATCAACACTTTGCCATTAGAGAGCGGCTATACTCAAATTTGAAATAAGGTACACGCAAAAAAATTATGCCTGAAAGAGTTTGCCAGTCCATTGGAATAGGGTGTTTCGAATAAAGGCCCAAATAACTACAGAAGTTGGTATAATAAAAAAAAGATAAATAGATGTATTCATATATTAAATAAAGACCAATACAATGTGTTACAATACAAATAACTAGGCTCTAAACTTATACAAAATTTATATGACATGGATTAGAGCCCCAAGACAATAAGGGGTGAATAGTAAATATCTTAAACTCCCCTAAAATATCCCAAATCTCAAATTAAAGAAAAAAAACTATAAAAGTGAGCTACTCGTTGAAACAATCAAGCATTTAGTCCATTATTATTATTACTAAAAGATGTAGACCCTATCTTTGATAAAACATATCACTGTTTTAAACATTACTAACGCTCTGGCGCCTATTTCTCCTTGTGGCAGGCAAAGTGCACAACATCGCCATTTGGATACCAGATAAGAGCCCTGGAAAAATAGACCTGAGTTATCAACCTAATTTTAATTTCCCAAAAACTCACGCTTGATTGGAAAAGCGCTTTTTGCAAACAGGACAGACATTCATCTCGGTTATCAGGACGTGTTTGCTCTGCAGCTTCAACTTCATTTCCTGGCATTGCAAATGTTCCGCATAGAGCAGACCTTTCGACAATTCCTCCTAGATATCATCATATTATTTAAGGGATTAGTCCAGCTGAAAATAGACTTACGCGTCGCCGCTCTTGTAAAACTGCCCGCAAAGACACCGAAAGAAACTTCTGAATTCTGGAAACTGGAATTTCATCGGGAAGTGCGGCCAGCATTTCCAGAGGATCCACTTTGAAGCAGTTTTCCTCCAGAAGTTGCAACGCCAATTCCACGTCCGGTTGGAGGGTTTTGGGAGATAGAGTGACTCCCTCCAGAGCTAAATGGGAAGTGTCTGCATTGAGGATCAGCTTGATTAAACATACGTAGACCTAAACAAAAAAATCCTGGTATTAACTGCAATTATTGCCCCGAAAGAATAATGTCTCACGTTTTGGCTTCCTGGTCCCTTTTTTGCGAAGATTTGCTCGCAATACTCTTTAGCTTTGTCAATATCGCCCAAAGCTCTCACATACAGAGCAATGGCTTGGTCGTGTTTTCCCAGTCTTCCTAATATCAAAGCGCGCTCCTCAATCAAGTTATTAACTGGAAAGTCCTTCAATACATTCTCCGCTGTATATTGGGAGCTCTGCCACACAAATCAGGTGTAAACATTTAAAAAATTATTTAGAAAATCGAGAATGATCTTACTTTTTCCAGAAACGAAACGAGTTTCCTCCTGGTGTGCTCAGAGTTTGCCGCTCCATCCTTCAGTATTTTCTCCCGGTACTGATGGATGAGCGCGTTGTGGAACAAAGGATTTTCCTCTTTCCAATTGTGGATGATGTGCTCCAGATAGGGAATAGCCAAATGGGGATGCTCTTTAAGCAAAGTGTCCAGAATTCGTGGCCGCGGCAGCTTTTCTACTTCAGGCAAATCTTCAGTGAATATCTAGAAAAATATGCAACAAACTAATTATTAGAAGATTAAAAACAGTGGTGCAAAAATAAATCTACCAACTCAAACAGAAACACTGGAACCAAAAATGGGGAAGGATTAAGATGCGTTCATCAGCAATGGAAAAATATATTTGCCTCTATCAATATTGCGTACCTTTAAGCCCTTCTCGGGTTCCTTCTTCAGCACCCAGTCAGAAAACTGCAAAATAAGCCCCATATTTTCTGACCCAAGTTTCTGCAGATATTTCACGGTTTTCTCCACACTCTCTCCTTCGATGCTCTTTTCAGTTTGAAGCAGCTCCAAGGCCTTGCGGTGCTGGCCTGTAAAACTCCACGTTGTCTTCATCAATTTAAACGCTCACTTATAGAATTTTTAGGACCTTTAATCTGATATAGAATAATCAGATCATTGTGCTTTGCCATTTTCTTCAAAACCCGTTCAGTCTCAGTGAGAAGACAATAATTCTGGCGCAAAATCAGCGGCACCATCGCGTCGTTCGTTTGCAAATAGCATTTTACTAGAATGGTGTCTATAATTTGCAGCAGTTGGTGAGCAGAGTTGCTATTTCGGCTGCTCTGGCTGTTTATTGAATTGGCCACCGACTGAAATAATCACTTTTCAGGCTCCAAGTTCTAGAAGCGCGAAATAACGGTTTTTTACCTTGGAGTCCGACACGCGGTTTCGCATATCAGTTAAATAGTCGCTGAGAGCTGCAATGCTTTCTAAAACCTCTTTCTCGTTGAGATCCCTACTGGTAGACCCCTCTTCTTCTTGCTGAGTTTGAGGCAACATGTCCGGATAGAGCCTGCAAGATCCAATGCCTCAAATAGCTTTAGAGTGCTTGCTTTGCTCATCACTAGAATCGAGCTTCTGTACCTGATTACATCATGCGGGTCGGTTCCCAACTTCAGAAATTCCTTCATACTTTCAGCGAATTGCTTCTTGGCAAACAAATCGTAGGCCAACAAAGTTTGGATTTGATGGATTTTCCGCTGCTTTTCCTCCTCTGAATCGTCTGAAATTTGCTATAAACCCAAAACGTGATTAGAGCATGACTCTTTCAGTTTAAAGAAAACAATGCCTACGATTAGGTTAAGAGCCAATCGGAATTCCTTTGCGTTGAGGAGCAGTTCGCGTTGTTTGGCAATATCCACCATCCTCAGGCACCAGATCTGGGAAAGAGAGGCGGCGAAAAGAGTGCCCTGTTGAGCCTGGACCAAGAAACGCACTTTCGGCATATCCGGCAACGTTTGCACCGACATGCTGGGATCTAACGAGCAAACCTATCAATTCATAAGCAAATTATCTACAAACTTTGGTGGGTTCAATAGTAAAAAGTACCTCGATGCAGTCGGTTAATATTCCTAATGTGTAAGGAGCATCATAGGCGAGTAGAACTGGAGGCTCCGACCATTTCAGGGTCTGCTTTTTCTCAGTTTCTCCTAATGTATTCACCAGGATTGTCTGGTTTTCTCGGCACAGGGCAAAATGCGACTCAGATATGGGCAAAATGCATGGATCCGCCGCTTTTGAGCTGCTGGTGTTGAATAAGTCGGTTTTTTGCCCATCAAGCTAAAGGAAACGCTATTGATTGGGTGAAAACGCAAAGTTGCTCATTGGTGCATCAAAGCAAATATCAATTTTGCAAGAAAATGTTTCCTACAATTAAATTTTAATCTAAATTTATTTCAGAAGTTTTATCTAAAACGTACAGTGTTCGCACTGTTCGGAACAATATGAAAATTCCTCCAAAGTCTCCAAGAGGACCAACAATTTCTTTTTTGAATTTTCGGATTTATTGTTAAATTTAGAGCCAGTTTATGTAGTAGTTAGTAAAGTTGAAGTGGTTACGTCCTATTGTTCTTTTCAGGAGCTTACTTTAAGTAACGTGTATTCGTCTCTATATCCCAAGCAAATCACATCTTGCCGCCAAACCATTGCCTTCGGAATATCATTCAGCGATATATCGTTGGCTAGCTGAAGGAATTGGTTGTTTTTCAAAAAATACAACTGTATCTTTCTTTTAACTGCTATTGCCAGCCGGATTACGTACTGAGTATTGCCAGTGATCGACGTTTTTTCCTAGAAAATTTACTTGGATTTGAGAACAAAGCGCTTGTCTAGTCAGTTCCCCATTCACTTCAGCCCTACCTCAATGTTTACAGCGAAAAATGTGGCCCCCTTGCTATTATGAATAGTGTCCAAAGTGGTAAAACTGATGTCGTTAATATTGTGAAGCTGCACAATATTTTCTGCAATCAAATCGCACCTCAATGTAGTGTTTTTTCGCCGGAAGGAATCACTTACCAGTTAAACTCAAAAGCAAATCGTGCTTAGGAATTACTTCCAGTTGTTGTACTTTGGATTTACTGAATGTCTTGTTGTATCTCATCAACGTGAGCTCACATCTCGGTTCTTTCGTCTCCAAACTGTACATGAAAAGGTGACCCTGTCGAGTTCCAACCAACAGTTTTTCCCCTTCAAAGCAATTAATTGTAGGTGCGGTATATCTTTAGTAGGTTAACTGTATTTGAATGTATGAAAATGTGATTTTAATCACACTTTTATTGCATTAAAAAGTCAACAGAAGGCGATTTTTCACAATCCCCATAAAAAACGCTAGGAAACGGGACTTCCGCATTCAGCAGCCCCCATTTGCTCTATGAGGAAGGAGCTACAAGACTACTCAATAATGCTTATTGCAACAGCAAAAAAAATACTATCGGGCTAATGGAGCAGTCTTCCATAAAACTTTTAACAAATTCAGGCCTTTGTGAGACCATGAAAAAGCTAATTAACTCCAAAATTAATCATTTGAACTTTACCATAAGCTGCTATCGACTCGACCTGATGGGACAATTTGGTCAATGGGTGCACTTGATAGGCTTCATGCATGGTGGAAACGGGGCACAATCACAACTGAACCTCTCACAATCGCCGGAAATGTTCACAATATACTATTTACTGTTAATATCACAATCTAAATCACAGAAAGTCCATAGATAAAGACAAGTAAAAAGTGACAGTGACGAAGTCCACTGTTTATTTACCTTTTCAGTGACCAATGACATTGTCAATACTGACAATCAGCTAAAGCAAAGAATATCGACGTATGGGAAGTATTTATTATTATCTACTAATTGTTCACAGAGCGAGACAAAAGTTTTATGTTTTTAATATGTCATTGAGCAAATTTAATTTAAATTGTACAACTTCAACTAATTTAAATGCCACGTTGTCAACTGCTGTCGTAAATAGTAGTATTTCTTGAGATTAATAAACATTTTATATTGCTTCAAGCAAAGCTAATGACGACTGTTTAATTTATCAACGATGAAGTCAAAGTATTTTTTAAAACTTCTCTAAAAGCCATAAATTGACATAACAATAATCTGATTCAACAAAAATTTATTTTATCCACACGGGACATAAAAGCAAATAATGACGTCAGTGCCGAAAGGTTCGGGACAGACTGTTCGTAAATATTCTGTGCTTTTGTGGCAGATTATTGTCAAAATCATTACTTAACCTCACATTTACTTGTTTATTTTGCTCTACTAGTTTAAATAAATATAGACAAATTCCAATCACTTTCATCTGTTGGAATCAATTAAACCGTTGAAATCCTCAACTGACTGATGTTCTTTTAAATATCCAGAAGTCCGTTCAATTACCATAGGGCTGAAATGGTTGGAAAATAATGGACACTGATTGTCCAGCGAATGAGTCCAGTATGACTGTGTCCAGCAGAATAGACAACATAATTAGGGCTCTGGTAGCCAATTCAGAGGTTGCCTTCAAGAGCCAGCAACGCGGCGAGTCCGAGCCCAATGATTGCGAAAAAACCGACATAGCCCTAGGAGTCTTTAACAGGAATAAAACCAGCTTCTTGCTCAAGTTCGGCAAATATTTGAATGCCAGGCAGTTGCAGTACTTTGATCAGTTTACTGAGTCCCACGCCGAACCTGCTGACTGCGAGGAAATCAGACTAGTTCTGGATAATTTAAAGATCAACTTCACAACGAAGGGAAGAAACTTGCAAATCAAAAACAGACGGTAATTTTCTCCCGGCTAATTCCATGTAGTTTGCCATATTAGTTAGTGTTTTAGATATGAGGCCTTACAGAAGATGATTGAGGCGGATACGTACTTCTCCGAGATTGAAATGATGAAGAGACATCCACTATTATACGAACAGTTAGTTGGTCAATACTTAACAGAGGAAGAGAAACGGGAGAGGGACAAATACGAAATGAAAGAGAACGTGACTTTTGTGAAAATCCTTATGGAAGGGATTGAAAGGTTGGGGGTTATTAATTCCAGTGATTGGGAAGACATTTCAACATCACCGTTGCAGGGAGAATGCAGAAAAGTGCAGAACACTAGAGCAGCAAAGGGAGGAAAGCCAAATGGAGGAGAGCGATTCTTCGGACGAAGATCGGCCTGTTGATGAGATTTCCGTGTCTTTGAAGAGCGCCAGGCCTTCAACATCAAGATGGGGCGAATTTGAAGAGCATGCAATTCATGTGGGTAAGTACTAAGAACACTTTTTCCGAATTTCATGGACTTTTTATAGGCAACAAGGAGTAGAAAGTCTGTGCCAATGGTAACTGCCGCAGAACGACTGCTGTTGAAGCAAGAATTCGTCACTACCATGCATCAACATTTTGTCGATGGAAAAGATGCAGAGTTTTTCGATTACACAACTGTGGATGATAATCCTGGGTAAAGGATTTCAGCGATTTCTGGCCCTTAACAATCTTTCAATTAATTACCTTTCAGTTACGACAATATCAAGGAAATGGATCATGACGCTCAAGACAAATACTTCGATAGTGAAGACCCGGAAGATGAAATAAGTGCGGAGGAAAGGTGTCAAAGCAGTGAGGATGAGCTGGATATTTACATGAACGCTTTGAATCAGCATCCTGCTGTATGTGAGCTGGCGAAAAATATGCATGAAAATCTTTAAAATTGCCCTAGTTTTCCGTTAAGGCCAAAATAAAAGATACTAATACATTTCGAAACAGAAACGAAGTTTTTAATAGCCACCACCACACTTTTCTGCGGAGCTTACGGTGCTGCTTCAGAGCTGTTCTTGTTCTCAGTTTCTTCAACTAGAGGGCTTTTGAGTAGGAATATACTGAGGCAGCGCCCATTGTGGGCTATTTGACGTCCTTCCGCGCAAGATATTGGAACGTCTATGAATCTGCGGCCTTTCGGTATAATGCTGGTTACATTGGTGCCATTTGCTACACAGGAAAAGATTATTATTATTCATACCTTAACTGGTAATATTTTAAAGTCTTAAGTAGCGGACCAAAGCGATTGAATGGAAAGTGACAGAATACTTACATGTTGCACTCGTTCATGTTTGCTGATGATAAAAGCTTTCTGATGAATATATGGAAATATAATGGTTAGTTACATATACTTGAGGAATACATAGTTAAATTAGCTTCTTTATCTGAAGACTATATTCCATTACCACTGTCATACCAGGATGTAATACCTTCTACATTTTCGCTTTCGGTAGTTGTAGTGGGAGGCAGAGTGGTCACTTGCTGCCCATTGACTAGGTGAATGTTGATTGGCTTGTTATTGTCTGCAACAAACAAATTAAACTGGGCTGGATTTATTTCCGCTTACGCCCAAGTTACCTGGCTTAGACGGATCATAGACAAAGGACTTTCTTATGGAAGTTACATATTTCTTTTCAGTTATTATCGGTTTCGTTAAATTTGCAAGGATTTGGGTGTAGTTAGTCGTGTGTGAGTCGACGTCCACTTTGTAACGGGGTTTAAACGCGCGCTAAAAATCCCCATTACCACACTTCCTTAGCTATTGCCCGTTCGAGTGCAAATGCAGCAGAATTTTACTAGAAATTACCGGCTTTGTGGAAGATTCCTCCGCAGGCCACCCCAAAAGTTGTCTCTGATACTCAGGGGAGACATCGAGGATTTCAACGGGAATATTTGCAGTATTATCGCCTGCCCCGTTTTGCACCATCGCCCCATTTGCTTGGGGTTTATTCATGTCTAAAAAGCGATCTTTTCGAAATGTTTTTCACATCAACACCATTTAGCTTTGTGGTCAAGAGCCCGTTGTTTGTGCGAGTGGTTTAACTGAAAACTCACCTTGCGCGCTCCATCCAGGGAAACCAGCCCCGACTGGTTGAGGATATCCAGGATATTGTTGCGGATATCCTGGAAAATGCGGCTGGCCTCCCCAGGGACTTCCGCCAAGAGGCCCATATGGATAGGGCGGAAATGGCATTACACCAGGAAAAGGCTGGTTGATCGGCATTGGAAACGGGTTCTGTCCTAAAGCCGCCTGATATGGATACGGAAAGTTTCCAGTTACATTCTGAAACACTGATGTGATCGTTGAAATGTTCAAACGTGCACGATGGATATTTACTTGCGCAAAGGCTTCGCCATGGATGCTACTGGAGCGGAAAAATCCAAAAAGCAGCCAGAAAAGACACCAGGCCAAAGGCATTTTCTCCATTTCTCGATGCAAATGGACACTGATCTGCTGCAGGAAATGTCTTTGATGGTTCTTATGCTGTGAATCTGCGACCTAATTTTTGGAATTTTTCGACTGTTGCTTCCATTGATAAGATAAGGGGGGTCATCGGGAGGTTACTAAATACAATACAGCTTATAGAGTTTACTTCAGATGCAGTTTCGCTGCCGAGCATCTGAAGAGGCATAATTAGTTTGTTTTTACAAGATTCAATCGGATTAGCCCTGAATGAAGAGGCTTGCATTTCTGTTCCGAGAAAGTTTCGAGTTTTATCGGGGCATTTTTAAATCTGCTGTGCCTGAGATAATTTTATTTAAAGAAGTTATCAATTTAAAAATTTAAAAATCACACATACATTTTGATACAGACTGCTATTAAAAATTGTACATCTGGAGTCTTAAAAATAAATCATTTCTTCTTAGCCTCAAACCCCCCGTACAGGGTTTTTAGCCTCAAGCCCCCCGTTTTTGCATCTAATTTCAAATTTAGAGAAAAATGTTAAATATAAAAGTTGTAAATACTAACATCTAGATTATTTCAAGATAATACCCATTGATACAGGGTGTCTCAAATTCAAGTGGCAGACCAAACTTACCTTTTTTTAAATGAAATGTACTTTTTATTGCATATTCGAGCCATTCCTGAAATTCTAGGCCCATTGCAAATAAATGTTCTATAGTGATGCTCAACTGTTTTTGAGTTAATAGCCAATATTGATTCAATTTTGGCCAGCCCGTTTTAACATCTAATTTAAAATTTAGTCAAAAATATCAAATGGAAAAGTTTTAGATATTAACGTCTAGTTTACACACGTAATGTAAGTTACACTTACAATTTTTTAAATGGAATAGCGCACTTTTTATTTCATTTTCCAACTATACGCAAAATTCCAGTCCTATTTGTTCTTTTTGTTTTCTATATTTTAAATGAGTTAATAACCATTTAAATATTCGGACATTTATAAAAAATTGAGTTTGGTCAGGCACTTGAATTTGAGACAACCTGTAGCAATTTTTATTATATTAAAATAAACTAGATGTTAATATATTATATCTACAACTTTTGTATATAATATTTTGCTCTAAATTTCAAATTAGCTGCAAAAACTGGGTGGCCAAAGTTCGAACAATATTGGTAATTAACTCAAAAACAATTGAAAATCATTATCGAACATTTATATGGAATAGGCTTAGAATTGTGCGAGTAGTTTGAATATGTAATAAAAAGTACAGCATCCCATTAAAAAAATAGGTAAGTTTGGTCTGCCACTTGAATTTGAAACACCCTGTATCAATTGGTGTTATCTTAAAATAAACTAGAGGTTAATATCGACAACTTCTGTATTTAACATTTTTCTCAAAATTTCATATTAGATGCTAAAACGGGGTGGCTGAAGTTCAATCAATCACCCTGTACATTCATGAAAAAAATAATCTTATAATAATTGACAAAAAATTATAATAATAAATAATTTACATAGGAAAACACATACAGTCCACGTTTAATCAGTTAATTGCTTGACTTCGCCCGTTTCCAATTAAATGTATGCTGTAAATAATTGCTTACTAAATAAGGATTAATGTGAACTACGAAATCCCAGAAACGATTAGCCAGCAACAACACTGATAACGAAAAACTATTTATATGAAGAAGAAACTGGCCAGATTCAAGTCAGAATTATTTTCGTACACTCCAGATTTTCTGTTTAGCAATGAGGGTTCAACAAGCATTATTTTTGGTGGTTCTTTCGGCCACTGCCGCCTACAGCTTTCCCACTTTCGGACTCCTGATTAGTCCACTGAAGAATCAAGTGTTGCAAACCAGGTAAAATCCCTTGTAAAGCATGTCAACTGAGCGGATTAAATGAATCAATTTCAGATGCAAACTACACCACATTGGCTCAAAGGTGCTCCAGCATGATCATATCTTGGGAGATCCATGTGAAGGATCTAAAGCAGTTGAACAACAAATCACAACATCAACCACAACAACAACAACAACAACAGCAAGTGAAGGGATTGAAAAAGAGAAATTTATAGGTAAGCTTAACTGAGCAGTGGAATCATTAGCAACACCATCACTGGATTTTTTAAGTGACCTCTGAAGCGTATCCATCTTCATTGGACATCGACATTCGTATGGGCCCGGATGGACCTACATCTAGTTCCACACCCCGAGAAACTACCAGATTGGATCTGGCCGAAGGTGGTGAAGTTCCGACTAAACAAAAAAACTACGCAACAGTTCCTCCAGATGGAGGAAAACATGTTATAAAAGCAAAATGTAACGGAGTCTTAACGACCGATGGGTGTTTGGAGGAAATTTAGAGGCTGGTTGTAGTGAGAGTTTCCCATGATCTGTATTAAAACTGTTTATAATAAATAAAATCTGTTTTTATATGCAATTTCTGGGGCAAGGAAAGGACGATTGAAAACGTTTGTCTTCAACTTCTGGTAAGTAGGAATTGAACCTGTGTTCTTTAACTTTTCCAGGTTCTTAACAATATTTTCTCCAGTGTCAATTATCAAATATTTTTTTTAGTTTAAGAAAAATATTACACAAATAATTACATTTTTTGAAATTATTATTAATTTTTTTAAATCAACGTTCAAGTTTTCAAATTAATTATATTTTAGTGTTCATTTAATCAGCTGGAGAATTTTCAGTTTCTCAGTTTTTGATTATATTCACATTTTCCAAAATTTTTAGATTAATTTACAAATTAATGCAAAAATGCTCCAGGTCATCTAATAATATTTTAAACAATAAATTAATTTACGTTCTGAAAAAAAGGTTTTTCGGTTTTATGAAGACTAATAAATATTAGCCTTAATTGAATTAAGAAAATCAAGATAAGAGAAAGAGAGAAATTTTGAATTCAAATGAGATTTAGAAACATAAATACAAGGTGGTTTTTTAGTGCGAGAGAGTCCATTATTTCCGTTGGTGTTGAACTTTTGAAAAATACTTTTATGTAAAAGTTGTTGACGCACAAAGTGCACACATTCTAAAAATATTTTATATGATACAGAGTGTCTCAGAACAGCAAGGCAAGATCAAAGTGTATTTTTTTAAATAGAACTACCCATTTTTCACTAACTCATGAAATGCAGCTTGAAACGCTGCATATGCACAGTAAATTGTTTTTTTCTTACTTGCGACGCAGTAAATTAACAAAAGAACAATCCACAAAAAAACGTAAAATTAAAGAAAGCGCACTAATTTTACTAAATCAAAATAATTGTGTTGCTTCATGTTCATTT